ACAAAAGATATAAATGATTTCTTTTAACAATCTCTTCAATTTCTGCCACATGGTAGCCACTGATTCCAAAACACTAGGATGAGGCTTAGGCCAATTGGCTAAAAAAAGTGTATTTGTTCCTTCAGAGCTCTGTTATGCCTGGCAAACAGTGGAAACACGAGAACATGTGGAAGCCATTTCTCAGAAGCACATGATAATGTAAATACTTGGAGAAATGCTGGATTGTACTCCTGTTGTTTTGTCAGTCTTAAAAAGTCCAGTTTTGCCAAGAATGCTGGAGCCACAAATGCAATATTGGGTTCATCACAATCCAAGTGCTTATGCAGAGGTGCTTCTTTCTCTGAAAACTCCATAGATATTTTCTGTGATTTTTCCACTTTCTTTAGGCATCAAAAATATTTACAGAAGGAGGGAGAGCATTTCCTAATTCAGTCTCTTAGTCATGGTGGAGGGTTGACAAATCAGGATTGACAGACAGGCCAAGCTGGGGTTAATGATGGTCTGGGTGTTCAGAGCAGGACTGTGTTTTACCTGTTCCTTGCTTAACATAGGATATCAATGCCAGTCTTTCTTCTGGGTGATAAAAAGTCAGGTCACAGGAAAAGAGAGCAATAAGAGAAGATAATACTTTCTCCATGCCAGTTCAGAGAGCTGTAATGTTTTCCTGGCCACTTCCTTGCCCTACTACTGGTGAGGGTGGAGTTCAGGCAAGGTGCAACAGATGTTATTGAACACGGCTTCCTGTTCCACTAAGTGCATGCCCAGCGCATTTACCTCCCTTAGACAAAAGACAAGGTCGTACTTTCTCACCAGTTCATGTATGGAAACTGGCTAGACTAATTGCCTTGATATTGCATTTCTTTGCTGGCCTTCCGCAAGCAGATGAAGACCTTTCTCTTCAGGGAGGCTTTCCCTTAGTAGCCATTCACAGAGGAGTGACATAATGCAAGAGAAAATCCCAGAGGCTGACTCCTTTTTTCATCACTTCACCACTTCACACCCAAACACAAAGCAATTGTTAAGCTTGTTTTTTCGACAAGTGTGAATAGTAGTGAGCAGAAGAGGGTATCCTGTAGAACATCTTCACTGCTGCCATTGGTGTTGTCAACATTTAAGCTGCCCTTTGCTATGTTAAACTTGGTATCCTTTTTCCTGTTGGCAAGGTGGGTATGATATTATGCATACACACTTTTTAATCTCTCAGTAAAGTAACATTGCCCCGTCTGCTCTGCAGAATGCAGAATGCAAGCTATGTTCCAATTTCCAATGTTTTGCTTGAGTTAGGCAAGCTGAGGAAGAAAAGCTGTATCAGACTAAAAGCTCTATAGATGTACTCTGTGTGCGTGTTTTGCAAAAGATGTCCCTTTGCCCTTTGAAATTTGAAAGAAAAGGGAGAGGTTAGAATTAGCAAAGAATGTCACTGGAAACCCAAGGTCAAAATCATCTATACTATGTGAAAGAAATACAGTGTGTCTTCACAGTTGCAGCTCTCGCAGAAAAGCATAGTCCTGAGCACAATTATTCAGCAATAAATCCCTGTACATCCACTGGATCCCTCTGTTTCCATCAAAATTGGTGACTTTCCCTCCTTCCCTCAATCTCCCTAAAAACCATCTTCAGAGGACTGGGAACTCTCTGGGGCAGGTTTTGGAACCACAGAGGAGGGCTGCAATAGGATCAAGACAGAGTGTGTTTGTGCATGTGACGTAGTTCTACTGGCATTGGGTATAGAGGAGTACTAGATCTTGCTGCTTACTCCTAGCTTTGTGTGTGTAGGATGCCTAAACAGTCATTGTGCAAAGCTTCAAATACTCTGTGTAAGCTATTATTTTAGTCTACATTGGTCAAACAGAGGCGCCTTAGGAGTGTGTATTCACATAGCAAGCCTTCAATAAAGTGGCAGATTACTCTCTATTTGATGTACAGCTTAAATTCATTAAGAACCATCAAGGAATCAGCTATTTTATGGAAAGACCCAGAGGATATAGTGTGCCTGCCTGCCAAATCCAGCAGCTTGTCATGTAACAAAATGACTTACATGTTGCACTTCTACATTCTAAAGCTAAGTAACTTGTCATAACTTTAAGTTATCACCCATTAAGACTGTAATGTTTAAATGAGTTTAAGTAGAAAGAGCATCCTGTTTCATTAATATCACAGGCCAGTATGCAGCATGCATTTTAAGTGTCCTTAAACACATTGGTTTATTTCCTGACTTAGACTGGGGCTCTTATTTATCTTGCATATATATACAGACAGCACTGGGTGCTGACTGACATTTTCTAAAGCACATGGTGCTTTTAGTTATTTTAATTTTTAAAAGTTGAACACATGTAACAGCTTTGAAAAAGCGCTTGCCATTTAATAATCTTTGGCACACAGGATCTCAGAGAAGACTGAAAAGAATGAGTAATGTTGATGTGTTAAATGTACACTGAACTTTCTTTGGGACTATAAAATATTTAAAAGATTAGTTGTGCTCACTGGACTATCTAGAGTGGTTCATCTGACCTGATCTAATATTCAGAGAGATGCAATAGCTGTGTGTGGATAATGTCATTATGCCATTCAGTCACTAGGAGGCACTGTGTGTGTCACTAGAGTTAGGAGTTCCTTGTTGCTGTCCTATTCTTGTTTAACTGGCTGGGTGGTGTTTCTTCTAAGCCTTCCATGAAACTAGGTAAATGAGCTTGCTATAAGGAGCCTTGGTTATTTCTGTTTAAAGTAAATTAAATTAAAAATAAATGGTCTAGCAGAATGATCTACATTATTCTGTAGCAGGATCAAGGCCATCCATATGTTTCTTTTTATGCATTAGACAAAAAATGCTAGCATTTTACTGAAACTTGAACCACACTGATAAACAAATGCTAAATATGGCTCAGATAGAGGAGAAGTGAAATATTAGATCACGAGTAGTTTTGAAAAAATGAAGCTTTGACTATATTTCTCATGAACTTGAAGTGGAAAAGGGCATGGAAGCATTCTCTTTTATTCTGGATTTTCTTGTTCTTTAAAAACATACAACTGAAATTCCTCTATGGTAAAAAAAGGGTTTATCTCTTAATAATTTCATTGAGCTTCCAGATAAAAAGATGCTCAAATGGACATCAAAGGGGGTTGTTCTTTGGTCAGCTAGAAAACAGTTTACTCTGATCCACACATACCCCAGTGGAGAGAGGTGAAAGGGAGAGGTTACACATAGAGTAGAAAGAGAAATTATATTTGAACCAGTAAATATTGATCATGTAAATAACTGCAGACACAGACACACACACACACACACACCAGTAAATCTTGATCATGTAAATAACTGCAGACATACACACACACAGAGAGAGACAGAGAGAGAAAATGAGAGAGAGAAAACATGATTTGAACTATAGATGGACAGATCGGTCTCTTTCCAGTTGGATATAGTTTCTTATGTGTTCATTCATAAATGTACCATGTTTCATTTCCTTATTTATGTATAGCTTTTAAATTTATAATACTCAAGTATACATAGGGCATGCTGAACATATCTTCTTGCATCAGTGCAACCATATTTCTTAATATATCTGATCTTGTACACACATTTTTAAATGTATCTGGATCCTTTTTTTTCAGCTGAGAACTGCATTGCATAATTCAGAGAAGTGTAATATCTAAAAGATCATTACATTCCAATCCTCTCATTAGTCTTAGCAGTGCAGAATAGATCTCTTTCCATTAAAATGTGCAAAGATGAAGACTCTTTGAGCATCATTAGCCATTATCCAGCAAGGCCATTAAAACAACCACCTATGTTAGGTAAAACCCTGGTGATAGTCCTTTTCACTAAGTGCAAAAGAGATTTCACAATACTCTGCCCCTCAGTCCTTCGCATAGCAGTTATGAGTACTCATTATTGCCAAAATAGAGCTATTGGGGGAAAAAGTAGGTGTCACCGTGCTGACACACTGGTGGCGGGATGCTTCATTTGGAGGAGGACAGAAAAACATTTACTGTAAGTCATATGTAAAGCAGACACTTAACAGGGCAAACCTTCCATCTCCAAGATCCCAAAGAGGAAAACTGGTGTGTAGTATGTCATCTGAAAGGGAAAATGATAGACTGACAAAAGGTTAGAAATGGGAATCACCCTTGTTTGCAGGTCATGCTTATAACAATATGAATTCAGTTACATATACAGTGACTGAAAGGTATCAATCGTGTAATACCTTGAGAGACATTTTGTACAACATTCAAAGATAGTTACATATTCTAAAAGCAGGACCCATATTTTTAAAACAAAATCAGTAACATAGGTTTTCTCAAGCCTGCTCTTTAATGAGCTGTATTTCCATTGCACATAAACCTTCAGAGCAATTTGTCTACATCTGTGTGGAAAATAAAGCATGTTTCTATTTTAAAGATTTTATCATTGTTTAAGTAAGCTGTTTCCCAATCTGGGGGGTCATGAAACAGGCCCTTTGGGGGAGAAAGCCTCTACTCTCTGAGAAGGGATGACTATACCCCACTAAAAATGCCTTTTAATGCAAACGTGGCTGGGGAGGGGTGTGTGTTGCACGTTACTTGGCTCTTATAAAACCAGTGGCAACTCAAAAAAGGTTGGGAACCACTAGTCTAAATGGACCAGTATCCTATTGAGCTTCTGCTGAGCAGGAAGTCTGACCAGCATAACAGCATAGAATTGTTCCACTTGTCCCAACATTGTATTGCATAAGTTGAGGGCTGGTTTCGTACCAGCCCTCAACTTATGCATTAGAGATGCATGGAGATCATACCTTGTACCGTAAAAATGCTTATACAAAAGCCTCAGTGTAATCTCACATTACTGTGCTGGGAGGACTTTCAACTTAATGAAAACTCAGCAGGACACTAGTCATGAACTTAAATTCTAGTTGTACTATTGTGTAATTGGGAATATTTGGTTGTCTAAAGGAACTTGTTTACCATGGGAATGCTTTCTCCGTCACAAAATGAATGTGCTGATGATTCTCTCTTCTCTTTCCTAGTCTCCAGTATATGTAGCAGAAATCAACCAAGGGATGGTCCAGCAGACAGAAGAAAAACTCGATAACAGCCCTTGCAAAGAACTGTTCTCACCTTGTGTAAAGTAAGTATAGTGGGGCATCCAAAGGTCTGTATAGTTGTTTTTCACTGTTGGCTTCTCTGCCTTTAAAATGCCCATGAAAGATTCAGCATTTGTTTGGTTTTTTTAAAACAGGGTGACAGCACACAGCCTATAAGCCATATGAACTCCTTCGAAACCTTTGTCTGTTCCCTGGAGTTCTCCTAGTGCTGCTAGAAAGCAACAGTGCAAGAACGTTGAAGCCATATTTTTTATCTTAACAAAACATGTGGAGAATACATGCCTTGTTTAGTAGATGTACTGTGCTCCTAGAAGCTTTCACACAATTCCTCTTTTAAAACAACAGTTGTAAGCCCAGAATGTAGTTCTCAGCCATCCAGAAGACAATTATTGTCCCACTTTCACCACCAAATTTCTGCAGCATACAGCTGCTGGAGGGAATCTGGTCCCTTGTGGGTGCTGTGAGAGGGGGGAATTGGCCCTGGAACTGCTCAGAGTTATCCATCCTCTGATTTAAAATAACACTGATAATTCAAGGGCTTTTCCAGACTAGAGTTTTTGTTTGTTTCAAAGCTACCGGTGATTTCTGAAGTTCTTTATCTGTCTGGTCCTACCTCTTTGATCATCTGCTTCTACTTCTGAAAGTTAAGGGGTGTCCTTGTCAAAGAGCTGACAAAATTAAAGGGACAACATTAAAGAGAAAAATGTGTTAAAGACTAACAAATCTGTTAAAGACTAACAGATTAATTTCAATTTGATATTTTATGGACTAGGATTTATAACTTTAGATGAATGCCCTCATGCTACTCACATTGAAACAAAACTGTTAGTTTTTGAAGATACCACAACATTTCTCCTTTATGTATCCCCCCCAAACACACACTTCCATTTTTACCAGTTATTTTGTCAATATGTTGTGATAAACTAACATGCTACCTCTTCAGAAACTTGTCAAACAGGGTTTTCTTATCAGGCCTAGTTTTAAAAGGTGGGTGAACTGGGTGGTCATGCTTGACATCAACATGAAAGGAGCACCTAAATAAAGTCTAGACTTGTTTGTTGCTCCTACTGTCTGCATTTAATTTCTCTAAACTACCCTGAGAAAGTTCTACAGATTGTTTGAGTATCAGGTTTAAAAGTAGACTTCTTTCTATCAATTTGCTTTCTAGAAAAGTTCCTTGCAGCATTCAATTTGATATAATTTCATCTAAATGAAAACCAGCATGGCAGGCATTTGCTTCGAGATAGCATTGCAAAATTTACAAACCAACTGTTAATCTCAGTTTCAGTGAACCGTTGAATCAGTGGGATTTACATGAGCATTGATTTAATCCTCTTTTGTAGTTGAGCCTGCAGAAGGCAAATGATATAACTTACAGCAGCTTGTCACTGCTTATTAACGAATCCCCACTTGGGTATTTAAGCATACACCAACCCACCAGACTCACACACACCTGGAAATTGAAGTGGGGATTTGTTAATCAGCAATGAGAAGCTGTTGTGAGTTAAGCCATCGGCCTTCTGCAGGTAAAACTATGCAATAGAACTTGGGGCAACAAGGTTGGTTCATTCAGTTGGTTCATTTTAGTTGGGGCTAAAAATTTAATGTATACCTGAACTCACAAGTGATATAAAAGCTGCTGAAAGCATAACTTGAGAACACGTCAAAACTGATGAGGGTAATGCCAAAAGTGTACCTTTTCCAGGACATTATCCTGGGAAGAGTCCTGTGTCTCACACAAACCCTACAGTAACATATATGTGAGGCAAACCCTGCATAGCACTGCACAAAGGGTCTGTTCCCCACTATATTTTCAGTTGGCCCTCTCCCATGGGAGAAGACTGAATTATCTCTATCTTTTAGATCATCCCCAAGACCGATGGGCATTCACCCTTGCTAGGTGCAATATTGTACCTTCGAACTTAGCACAGGGCAGATATACGGGTTTACCCACAGAACTGAGATTCTGCCCTTGTGGTCAGGGAGTGGTTGAATCCTTGCAGCATATGTTGTTCTACTGTATCTTGTATAAGGGTATCCGCCTGTCTTATCTGAGCACTTTCCTTTCCTTCCATTCTGATGACCGAGAAAAATTCGACACCTCCTAGGTGGCACTATTAAGGAACTTACCCTGACAACAGCCAGATACATCCACTCCGTCATGCACAGACGATGCATTATGCTGTCACTGAATGCCAAGCCCTAACAATGTTATTTGGCTGTTCGCTGCCACATGTTACCTGCTGAATGTTTTATTTGCATTTTAATGTGTTTTAATGTTAGTTTTGTTTATCAGTTTTGTTTTTCTTTCTTTCTTTTGCTGAGAGACCATTTTATTTATTTAAATTATTTTACCGTCTTTCTCTTTAAAAAGGACCCAAGGCAGTTTATATCGTTAAAAGAAAATATTTAAAGCTGAAAACAATGATTATGCAAATACTAAAAAGGATCAAACAAATACCACCCCAATAAATGGCTAACAAAAGCAATACTAAAAACACATTCAAAGCCATAAAGCATAACAATCTATTTAAAATCCTATCCCAGCAGCCAGTCACTGAGGGAAAGGTTGCATGCTTGTGGAAGGACAGCAAAGATGGGGCCAGTCTGGCCTCCTGTGGGAGGGAGTCCCAAAGTCTGGGACAAGCAACAGTGAAGGCTCTCCTGTGTCCCACCAAGCACACCTGTGAGGATGGTGAGACCAAGAGAAAGGCCTCTTCTGAACGGCAGCCAGTGAAGATGCTGTAACAGGGGGTGTTATGTAGCCAGACCCAGTCAACAGTCTGACTACTGCATTTTGGACCGACTGAAGTTTCCTGACATCTTTCATTGGTAGTCCCACATAGTGTGCGCTATAGTAATCCAGGGAAGTAACTAGGGCATGTGTGACAGAAGGCAGATCAGATCTCTCAAAAGACAGACGTAGTTGGCGCACTAGTTTTAACTGTGCAAATGCGCTCCTGGCCACTGCCAAGACCTCAGCTCCAGACCTGTTTTTCAAGTGGGAGTGTAATCCCATCCATGTACAGGCTGCATCCCTATTCCGTGGTCTGCCTTTCGACTGGCCAGATATCAAAAACTGTTTAAGTACATGCTCACTTATCCCAAAGGGGGGGGAGTGAACTCTTAACTTTGGCTAGACCATACCACTCATTTTTATTTTAGATATAAGTAAATTATGAAACATTATAACAGAAATGTCTCAATTAATGATGCATGTGAAGAGGAAAAAAATCAAGAAAACTGTATGGATGTAGGGCAGAAAATATGGTACTCAAATTAATGTTCACTTTTTTGGGAGGGGAGAATTACACAAGACATAATTCTTGCATAGTTATATTACTTTTTTAATGTTTTTAAATATTACAGAAGGTCTAGCTTGCAACCTAGCACACACACAGCATAGGTAATAATGGGCTCCCTCATCACACACTGCAAGTAATTATTGGCTACCATTGACCTAGTAAGAAGATATACAAACAGGCTCAAGGTTGTTAATAAAGAACTTCCTGGTAGAGTAGAAATTATAAATGCTTGCAGATTAAACGTGATTACATTGTTATAAAATGTCAAATCCAGATCTTTGCTGACCTCAGATATTAACAATGATAATATTAATGTTTGATCCTGACCATAACATATGACATGAACAGGTAGATAGAAATGTATTTACACATGAAATGGAAATTAAATTAAGCTTGCTTACTTCAAAACATTTATTTGCAATGAAGCTCCGGATTGTAAAATGTTTGTCTTTTCCTTTTCATCTGAGACAGATCTGTTCATGGGTACTTAAGTGGAGAGCCTTTCCAAGAATATCTAGAGAGCATGTATTTTGATAGATTTCTCCAGTGGAAGTGGCTGGAAAGGTAAGTTTTGCAAGTGGGTTATCGATGCATTTATATTGTGATGGGAAAGGTGGTCAAATAAAAATTCTTTTCATCTTTTCTTCACTTGGAAATGAATCACAGTTCACCTTTTGGAACTTAAAAATATAAAGAAAAATCCTACTGAGTTGGAGCAAAAAGCTATATAGTCCAGCATTCTGTTTTCCACCTCCCCCCTCTGGCCAACCCCTTACCTGTTGGAAGCCTGCAAGTTGGATTTGAGTCCAGTGCCAACCTCTTGCTTGTTTTCCCCGTTAACTGAAATTGAGAAGCATACAGGAGGTAACGCGTAGTTTTCATCACTAGTAGCTGTCGATCTTATCCTTCATGTCTAATTCCCTTTCAAAACTATCAAGGTGGGAGATCACTGCTATAATATCTGATAGCAAATTTAATTGTTTGACTTAACCAAGAGTTGTGAAGCATTCCACGACAGTCAGGAAAGGGGGTTAAGTTTAAACTTCCATTTATTCAGTTGGAAGGCTGCTGGTTCAAACTGATGGCCATGGAGACAGTGGAGCTATAATTTAAAAATAATAATTTGTAAGTTCTGTCCTTTCCCTTTTGTTATGAAGAGTATTTTGTAACCAAATTTTCACCAAAGCTTTCTGGGATTTGAAAGATGACTAGATGGGTGAACTGTGCCCATCTGTTTCTCTATATGGCAAGCCAAAGCCTCTAGTGTGCTACTTTCTAAATTTACTTAGAGGTGTGCCTACTTGTATTTTTGGATTACAACTCGCAACATCCCTCAGGCTGTATCCCTTGTGTGATGCTTTCAAAATTAATTGTGCACTACTTTCAAAAATGTGTTACTTTCAAAACTTAAGAGAAGTGTGCTGGTTTGTGTTTTTGGAATACAGCCCTGGAATTTTCTAGCCAGTTAAATTCTGAGAACTATAGTCTGAACATGCAAATACTCGTAGGCACACATCTTAAATTTGCTGTTTTAGAATTGGATTTTTTTTAAAAAAAACTTACAAGGGTTTATGAACAATTTCTCGTTTGTTACAATATAGCTAGTTTCATTTTGGGGTTTCATCTCTTCCATTCTTTGGTGTATACTTATGATATGTAAGAGTAATAGGAATAAATCTACAGGAATATATAAATAGTATATATATAATGTTATATATATATTCCTATGTGGTCATGATAACATACTGCTGCACTGATGCCTTTGATAGCTACAGCTCGTCCCCAATATATTAGCATACTGCCCCCTGGTGATTAGATTGATTGTGGCAGGAGAACAACAGTGTTCCTGCTTCTTTTTGACTGTTGCCTGTGGCTGCTACTTACTGACTGTTCTCTGGAGGAGAAACAGGGTTATTGATACTGTAAGATGGTAGAGGGGAGAAACAGTTGGCAGGAAACAAAAATATGAAAAATATCCCCTGGTCCCTTGGATGGAATGCAAAAATCGATTTATAAACGGGAGTTAGATCACCCTGGTTTTAGACTTTACTCTTTTTTTAAAAAAAACCTCTTGTAAAAGAATATAAAGCAGCCTAAAGCAATCACCTGCATATTCAGTACTCTGGGAACAAGTAATTTGTGGCAGTCTCAATGTTGATGAGCTACTAGTCCCATCATTGCGTAGTCCTGGCCAGGGTGAGAGAGGTGGGAACTGGACACCAGCAACATCAAGAAGTCCAGAATGATATGAAATGAAGTCACACAGGAGGCTGTTCCACTTGCTTTCTCTGCCCATATTCAAGACACCCTTTAAAATGATGTCAGAAAGTGACAGTATGCGGTTGCTTCCCGATCCATACTACTTGTATTTGCAGAAGAGGTTACATTAGCAGAATAGCTCAAGTTGCCCCTTTCTGCTGCATGAGTAGAATCAAGCTATCTTTATAAATGTCCTCTTCTTATTTATGAGCTGGCCAACATCAGAAAAGGGTTAATCGTTTACCTGAAATGGAAAAGGCAAGTTTTCTGGGCTGTAGTTATGTATTTGGTTTTTTTGTTGGAGTTTTACTTCTGTTTTTCGCTAGACATTAGGTAAATTACCATGTATTCCTCAAACATTATCCCGGTTGTTGTTTTTTTTACATTTGCAACTCTCACCTCGAGAATATAGGAGGGGAGATATTTGGGTATTTGATACGTGTTGGTGCTGCGCAGTATATTACACTGATTGGGTTTTTTTCCAGAATATAATCCAGCCCTGCAACCCTTGGGGGGGGGGGTGTGCACGCGCCAATGCCAGCATAAGAAGCTCCTTTATAGATATACCTAGAAAACCCCAGTTGCCTTCTTAGTGCAGCTCAAAGATTTAGAATAATAATAGATATTGCAAGACAAAAATGGGATGTTCAAGCAGTATTGTGATGCTAGAGTCAATTTACAAGAGATAATTTGAATGTGAGAATAGGTGCTTCATCCTTCCTCATATTTAACTTCCAAGCCTTCACCTAGCATGGCCAATAATAAGAAATATTTGGAGTTCAACCTATTTGGAATAGGTTGAACTATTCCAAAGCTTCCACATCCCTAATTTAGAGGAACAAGAGGGCAAGACTTTTAAATTGGCAGTAGCTTTTGATTAATGTAGAACTACATAGAATTTATCTGCTCTGGTAATGCTATCATAGCATATTGTTATGGTGTTGTTGTTTTTTTTTGACTAATTGATAGAAGCCGATGCTTTGGAGATGACTTCTGTTCAATCAAATTTATATCTACCTTAAACTTTTTAAGTATTAATATCTCTTTTTATATTTTCAGACAACCAGTAACAAAAAATACATTTAGGCAATACAGGGTATTAGGAAAAGGTGGCTTTGGGGAGGTAAGTAATTCTGAAAATTGCTGTTTTAAATGGGTTGCTTTTTGGAACATCTGACTCATGTGTAGCAAAGAAAATTGACTGGTTGAGCATGGAAATGTTAATGACTACCTGATTGTTTTATAATATGAGAAATCTAAAACTTGCCTTGCATGTGTGTGTCTGTGCATGAGAGAGAGAGAGACAGAGAGAGATATATATCTTACCACATGCAGCAGGTAAAGCATATTGATTGAGACGAGTCAGTTCAAATATCACAGGCTTTCCAGTGGCCAAAATCCCGTGGCATTTGTACACTGGCATAATGCAGTTGATATAAATTTTTGTGACAAATTGCCAGAAGTTAAGAATAAGTATAAGCTAGTGCTGTTGTGCACTGTCACGTGACTGAGTAGACAACAGCAAATACCTGCACTGACTTCCTATCCTATGGCATTTTGCCACTAAGGTCTATGCCAATTGCATTACGCCAGCAGTCCAACTAACAGAATTTTAGCCAATATGTTTCATATGTTTATTTGCCCTTTTGAAAACTGGCTCAAGGATGTGTCCCACAGCTTATTGCAACTTCTTCTGCCCTTGAGTGGCTCAACCGTCTGGAAAGGGAGTTTTCCTTTTCCGAGTGATTTATTCTCGTGCTGTTAGTTAATCGAGTTTTTTTTTCCTGAATTGAATTATCTTACAGACCAGACCCTCTGCATGATGATCTAATGAGTGATTGCCCTCTTTAGATAATCATGGGCATTATTTCACTTATTTCAATATGTGGTCATTACAGATGGCAGTATTCGCATATGGATACAAACATCCCCAAACAGCTGGACTTAATGACCTGGGGCCAGACCATCCACCCATGCGTCTGCTGGCGACCTTGCTCTTCCTTCCAATCACTCCCAGAGTGCCGCTCCGCCAGCTACTCCTGGCAATGGGAGGGAGGATGAGTCTCCCTGCAAGGGTGCTTAGTTGCTAGTCAAGCAAGAAAAGGACGGCGCTCTGGGAGTGATTGGAAGGAAGAGCGAGGCTGTCACCGGACACGTGAGTGGACGGTCCAGCTACAGGAGCCAGACCCTCGTTAAGTCTAGTTGGTGGGAATATTTGTATTCATATACAAATACCTCATCTCTAGTGGCCATCCTTTCCTGTGACATTGGTGGGTCCTCCTGCTCATTTAGACAGCTGGGACCTTTGATGTTGTCCCAGCATCTGAACCTGAGTTCACACCTATTTCTGGAGCACCTAACTCAGTTTAAATTGCAGCAGGAAGTTCAATAGTTTGCTCCTCTCTGCATTTTTCTTTATAATTTACTCATCCTTCGATATCAAAGATTATCCACTGTGCTCTTAGCAGACACTTCTATTGAATCTGATGAAATTTTCTAAAAAAACAAATAAAGGGATTGGAATATGTCCTTTTCTGACTGAAGTGTGTGTGTGTGTGTGTTTAACTTTCTCTCCTGTACCCTCTCCTTCCTTAACTTTTTTGTTTCTTTTTTTATCTTTCAGGTATGTGCTTGCCAAGTACGAGCAACCGGGAAAATGTATGCATGCAAAAGATTAGAGAAAAAAAGAATAAAGAAGAGGAAAGGTGAATCCATGGCCCTAAATGAAAAGCAGATTCTAGAGAAAGTCAATAGTCCATTTGTAGTAAGTATTGCCAAATTTGCAGTGGGCATCAGCTTTCCCTTAGGTGGCACTAAAGAGATTGCTCCCATGAAGTCTATAGGGCTTCCAGAGCACATCTTAATTCAAGTCAATGTTTTGATGTTGACTGTGGGGTTTTTCTTTAAATTGTTGCTATCAAAGATTTTTCAAGGCATCATACCTTGGCAATTGATAGACTCAAATAAAACTGAGTGGTTCAAAAGCAAGCGTTCATGGTACGTTATTACCTATACAAGATTCTCAGTAATCGCATGTATGTTTAATTGCCTGCAACAGCCATCCTAAACCTGGCAAGTTCTGTCATCCTCAACTAGCATGGCCAATGGCTGTGTTGGCAAGATGGCGGTCTTTGTAATCAAATACATTGATGGGATACCAGCTTAGAGAAGGCTAGCCTTCAAGTACTTCCAGTACAGATTTTGGAAATGTCATATTTACATATTTTTGAAAGTTTCCATAAAAGTGTGACTACATGGTTCTACACATGAGCTAACAAAATACATAACAAAAGAACCTGAGGGTTTTTTAAATAGTTGGCAGGTTGCCCAACTTCATTTTCTTCTAAACCATTAGAGGTTTTACATGATTCCTACTGTTAACAGTGAATGGTATATAATGTGTCTTAAGAATGTTCTTGTACTTCAACTGTCTTTCTAGGTCAATTTAGCATATGCCTATGAAACAAAGGATGCACTCTGTTTAGTACTGACCATAATGAATGGGGGTGACTTGAAGTTCCACATCTATAACATGGGAAATCCAGGCTTTGAGGAAGAAAGAGCTTTGTTTTATGCTGCCGAGATTCTTTGTGGCTTGGAAGATCTCCATAGAGAGAACACTGTATACAGGTAAATAGCATTCAAGTGACTTCAGAAATCTCTGTGTGTATGTACTGTTCCCCCCCCCCAAAAAAAATTATGGTCCTGTGTGGTGATACCCAGATGATTCTGAGGTTCAGGCCCATCAGACCTATCTGAAATTATCTTGGGTTACAGGACTAAGACTTCTGCCTAAGATTTGGGGATCCTGCTGCCAGTCACAATAGACAGTGCTATTTGGATAGGCAGGTGTGCCGGGAGGTTATCTGGCAGGTTCATACTTTTATAAACTTCCTACCATAGAATTATAAGGATACCCAATGTCAGGGCCATAGCTCAGTGGCAAAGCCCATGTTTTGTAAGCAGAAGGTTGAAAGTTCAGTCTCTGCCATCTCAAGGTAGGAGAATCCAAGGCAGGAAGTGTAGAATACATGCTTGGATATAACTTTATGTCAAAAAAACTCCCAGAGCACTTTTTGAAAATTAGTGTGTCAAGAGAGAGAACCTTTTCCCTTGCATGCTATTTTTCTGCATTCAGAGATATTTTTACACTTGTGGGGGTTGGGAGGGGAAGGGGGTTGGGTGTCACATAATTCCTCACATATAGTCTACAGTGGTACAGGCCCAAGAAATCTGGGTTCAGTGACTCTTCTGTTGTGTATACTGGCACTAAGTCTGTTCAGGTAAGCACATTAATTTCCTATATACTGGTTGTTGGACCCACTGAACCAGTCCTCATGGCTTCCCTTTTCAACAGATACCAGAGCATGGTGTTATATGAAGTTTATCTTTATATACCCTCCTCCCCTTTGAGAATAATATTACTGGCATCTATCATTTAATACATCTTGTAAAAAAATGATAGAGCACCATCTGGGGACCTTGGTTTATGATGAAATAATGTGTTTTTTAAAAAGACCACAATTTAAATCATTCATATGCCTATCCCTACTGATATTTATAGTGTTAACTTCGTCATAACCAACGTAATAGCACCTTAGGTTTTTCCTTCCCTTCATGTTTATGACCTTATTTACAATGCTGTTTAGAACAGACTAGCATAGAAAAATGTGCAGCGCTGGGAGGAGAGGCCATGACGCTCATTCCAGGAAAAATGATAACTCCCCTTTAACTTCCATCCTTCATATAATTGTGCACAGGCCAAAGAAATGATTGGTTCTCCCTGCACCAGCTTCCTAATGGATACAGCAGAGTTTGCATGGAAGAACAGGCTTTGTGACTAAGCTTGCTAATGTTATGTAGGTTGACTTTCATTTGAGGAAAATTCCATCTGATATGAGACTCCATTTTGGTGATGGTGTTTAGAAAGAGGGCCATAGTGTAGGTTCCCCATCTTTCTACCACTTTTGTGCCCCTTTCCCTTTTTATTCTTTTTTTCCTCAAAAGCCCTGTCTCTATTTTCATTAGGGAGCCATATTCTAGTGAAGAGATGACGTTGCCACCCATATTCAAAGAACCGTCTTTCCGCTATAACTATAGCTACAGTTCTATTGCCATTTCCAAAGTAGGCATCAATATATTTGGAAATGTAAAATACTTAACGCAGCAGCCTTGCAAAAAAAAAAAAGAAAGAAAGAAAGAAAGCTGAATCTTCCCAGTGCCTGGAGAAGATACTGTCTGAGAAGCACAGCACAGAAAAGTTCTTTTGGAGGGCTTGGTTTTATCGGGAGGAATCACCGAACTCACAGGCCTGGTGACTGTGCAGGCTGGGGTTTCTGGGAGTTGTCGTCCAAAAAACCCCGAAACACTTTCCCATACACATTACCAAGTAATGATAAATAGTTTATGGCTTCTTGAGTTCAGTTCCTGCAAAAAGTTCCCTAGTAGCATATTAATGTAATAATTGCAACTGTAATTATCTTTGATAAAATGCTCTGTGTGAGAGAGAGGCAGAGAAAGAAAGCTTCTCCATACTTCTGAAAAATTCTCTTTAAGCTTTGTTTTTCATAATTTTGCCCTCTCCATGTGATTCCTTGTGGCTGAAGATTTAGCTACAATTCCTGGTACACCTTTGTTACCTGATCTTCCTCCACCGCCACCGCCCCCACTGTGCTTTGAAACATATGTGCAAGTAACAGGTATACACATCTGAAGAAGAATGTGACTGGAAGGGTCTAGTAGTGGCTACAATGATTATAGCCTGGGAGCATGCTGATGCTATTGCTTTGCAATAAAGCTGTTTAAATCACATCTGCTGTGAATTCATTGTATTTATTCATTCATTCATTCAAATACTGTAAATCTGTATTTGAAAGCCTTTGTTGAAAGCCAGGAAAGAGCCGGAAGGCTCTTCTTGTGACTTTGCTTTTCTCATGGGACAACTGACCATGCAAGCCATCATTAATTCTCTAGGGTAGGGTTGCTAATAATAACTGTGCTAATAATAATTTTTTTTAAATGGTTTGAGGCAAAAACAAGCAAGGGGATAATGTTGATTTATTTTGAAATGCAGAATAAATACGGAAGCCACAAGATTATTGTGTACGTAATATATTGTCACAGGCTTCCAGCATGCCATCCATCCCGACACATGGCTGATATTGGCTGAAATCCTGTTTATAGTGTAAGCCCATTTGGAACTTTCTTGGGGGAGGGCATATGCATCCCCACCCCCACTCCAAGAATTGGAGCAGCAGCGGTTTGTTTACCAGGGAGGAACAGATGGAAAATTACATTTGGGCTTATGTTATGAACCATTTCAGCCATTGTTAGCTATGTTGAGGAGCACATAATTATGTTTTCAGCACAAGTTGTAGTTCTCATAATCTGTGATTCTGATCCAATTTTCTTTTTTTTTAAAAAAAAAAAAAAGTTGAGTCACAGTTTTCTTTGCTTTAGTTTTATCTTCATATTCTGTCTTCATGTACAAATGAGCAGAAAACAAACAATCCTGTACAAGGTTAAAACAAAGTCAGCTACCACTTTTTCTAGTATTATTTTGTGAAGAAGACAGGAGTTCATAGTGGATCTTGTTCACAACGGATCTGGTGCCTCTAATGTGAACAATACATGGTACATGTGATCCCCCACCAGTGATCCCCAGGTTGCATCTTTTTTTTCTCTTTGCAACCAACAGCTGCAAAAGGCAAACAGACAAACAGTAGAGGAGCAAACGCTTAAAATTTCGTCCAACACTATATGGTCCCAGTTTAAATCTACCTCCCAGTCAGATGATCTAATCATAGATCTCAAAAAAAACCCACATTTATCTTATCCTTTCAGATGAGAAATAACATATGCATTTTTTCTGATGGAGTAGAATTCAGAGGGTTCATTTTGTCAGACAAGGAATTTGTCATTGGGGGGAAGGGGTTGAGTCTTAATAAAAGCCCATCTTTTCTTTCTCTATGAAGCCCATAAGGGCTTACATCTCTGTCTCACATGTGTGACTTTTGAACTTCTATGAACATATAGAATCTTTCCTTTATTTTGTTTCTTTTTCCCTTTGCAATAATTAAAATATTAAATATGAGTCAGGCCTTGACCCCAGGCATTTTGTTGGTTAAGGTGAAAGGCAGCATGATGCTCTTTTTACCCCCATTCCACTGGGGACAGTAATTGAATCATACTTCAAAACTGGCAAGTGGATTGTATTCTCCTCTTACTAAAGCAGTTCAGACGATATAGAACAGGCTCTGTGAACACAAAGATCTGTCCTTCAACGGGGGGCAAGTGCCTGTGGTGGAGGAGGTCAGGAGGAACAAACAGCCTGATTCTTCACCAAAACCCGTCCTTCACCATCTGCTACCTGAACTTATTCCTTCCTTTTGCCTAGCGAGAAGGCCTATGTCAATTGTCTGTTTACAGTGGGGTTTTTTTAATTAAGGCATCTAGGTTCTTCAAGAAAATGTTTAAAATCAGAAGGAACATGTCAGTGGAGAGTGACCTTTTCGTATCACTCCAGCGTGCCTCTTTTTGTTAACACAGAGTGTAAGCAATAAGCAGTATTTAAAATAAAGTCATCCATTTTCTTCTGCATCCTGCTGCCCTTCACATATTTTCTCAGAACTATTTGTTTGAAAAGTAGGCCTGTTACCATTGGTTTATCTTGTGAAGTTTATCTTGTGAGGTCAATAGGGATTTAAACCAACAAAAGGAAGGGAACAAGAATGTTCTTAGTACATGTGCCTTGACTTATAATAATAAATAACATGCATGATATATTTTGAGCAAACAGAAATGTTCCCTTCTGATTAGCAGGGGGAAAGGCATTAAGCTCCCTATCAAGAAATTAAAACAACTTGATTTTTGAAAAGGAGAAATAATTTAAATTATTGAGTGAGAACCCCTGTATAAATTGGTGACAGATGACAAAAATTATAATGTTGCCTATTCCCTGAAAGAAGACTTCAATATTTCACATGCGGAAGTGTGTGAATAGTCTGGTTCTTCACCATTTCTCAATATAAAAAGATGTGTAAGTATCACACCAGCCAAAGCATTCTCTACTGTATTAACTTGATTTAGTTTAAATAGGCATAAGATTGTTATGTGGACAAAGTCACCTGAGATAGACTTTTCTGCTTCAAATATGTATTGAAATCATCTTTGAGTAAAACAGCAAGTTATTAAACAATACAGCTGCTTTTTCAAATAAAAGTCCAGTGACTCTTTGCTGAGCCCAAACTACGGATATTTTAGCAGGTGACATATTCTTTTATGGGTTTTCATGGGCTGCTTATTTATTTATTTGTTTGATTTACAGCCTCCCTGCCTCTCAAAACTGGGGCTCAAGGTGACTTATGACAATATTAAATAGAAAGATACAGATGGAAACACGAAACTTGTAGTATTAAAATTCAGGGAGTCAGTGTACTTAACAGTGTGTACAGTGTCAGACTAGGACTCAGAAGACCTGATTTCAAATTACTGCTTGCCCACGGAAACCCAATCAGCTTTGGCAATAGTAAACCACTCCTTAAATATCTCTCACACTTCAAAATTAGGTTGCCATCAGTCGGAAGTGACCTGACAGTACTTAAAAGTGCTCTCTCAAGATCTGTGGGGCC